AATTATTATTTGGACTTTGTCAATTAGTTCTTTAGATCCCAAAAGGTGAGTGAATATGGGATTTTTTGTAAACGTTTAACCAAAACAAAGCTCAAGCAACGCCTCTGGAGACCATCTTATGTGTGTTTCATTCTCCAGTCTTTTAAGAAGTCGATATAAGTTTAAAAAAAATATATATATATATACATTATCAATTATTGAATCAGTTCATTATTCTACTTTTTCTAAAAACCCCACCTCCATCAAATTCCATCTATACTGACCACAATTCAGCTTAGTCGTGCGCACACACCGAGACAATTACAATACCCCCTATTGGGAGGGTAGTAATTACATCTGCATTTTGAGAGCACAATGTCCTGCAGCTGCACTTCAAGCTAGAACTTTCTGTGAGCTTTACTTTAACTTTTGTGTGACCTCATCATAAACGTAAAGCTAATGTTTTTAGTGCGCTAATATTTTGATATCTCAGTGTTTGTTTGAGCTATTATCTCCTGTACAGTTCTCATGTCCAAAGCATGAGCCTCATGTTGACATTATCCTGGACTCTTTCCGTCATCTCCCGTTGGGACGGTGGCTGTAGTGGTCCTTTCTCTTCACTTGAGTCAATATTAGCTTGAACGAACACGCACAGGTTAGCTGATCTGCTGCACGCCCTGTCCCTGGCTAAAGCACTCATTGCACTGTGGTCTTTAGGTCTAAGCATGTTTTCTGACTGTGTAACTGTCCAAAAGCATAAACATTTTAGAGACGACTACATTATGACCACTTGATCTCATTTGTTTGAATGGAACAATGCATAATTATGAATAGACTGCAAGATCAGTGTAATCAGTCGTCCCATTGCACATGTTTTTATCGGTGAGTGAAAATGGAGGACCTGGAAGAAACCTATGCAGACACAGGGAGAACATGCAAACTCCACACAGACAGGCCCTGAGCCGAGAGTGCTGTCCACCCGAGATGTTTTAACTTTGTATAATCTTTAGGGCTGCACGATATATCAAACAAATATTGGTATCTTGATATTAGTGCATCCGATATCATATCAAAAACATGTGCAATAGATATTTTTTTTTTTCCTTTATTAAAGACAGTAGACGTGGGGGCGACAGTGGCTCAGTTGGTAGAGCATTGGCATTTGAGCCTGAACGTCGTGGGTTCGTTTCCCACCTCTACACCTTCTCCACCGACTCCCACTGATGACTGCTGTCGTTGGATCCTTGGGCAAGACACTTAACTCACTTTGCCTGAAGCCCCCCCTGAAAGATCTCAGCTCCTGTGGACTCACCACCTGCAGGAGGATCAGTGAGGGGCTGGTGCTCTGTGGACTGGGTGCAGCTCTGGCCACCCCCCCCGACCCAGAAATGGATTAAGGGGCAGACAATGGATGGATATTTTTTTTTTTCATTTCATTTTCAACCCCTTTATTAGTCCATTTCTGGGTCGGGGGGGTGGCAATGAGAGCTGCCACCCAACGCTCATAGCACCAGTCCCTCTGATCCTCTGCAGGGGGTGAGTCCACAGGAAGATGGCTGCTCCATCAGTTGTGAAACAGCCTTGGTCTTTCAGCGGGGGCTTCAGGCAACGTGGGGTTAAGTGTCTTGCCCAAGGACACAACGACAGCAGTCATCAGTGGGAGCAGTTGGAGTAGGTCCCATGGTGGGATTCGAACTCACGACCTCCAGGCCCAAAGGCTGGAGGTCTACCAATGCTCTACCAACTGAGCTACTGTCGCCCCTCATGGATGGATATTAAAGACAATAAAACAGAAAGACACATCAACATTTGACAAGAACAACAAACAAACAAAGTATATAAATATATGCATTTGAATATCATTAATGTTGTGCTTATTTTTTGTGCTTTGTCTCTTGCGTTTCAATGAGGATTGCAATTTCAGGTGAAAGACAAAAATATCGCAATAATATCGTTATCGCAATACTAACACTCATATCGAATATTGCTCTAATTTCCAATATCATGCAGCCCTAATAAGTTTGTATTGTATTGTAACTGTATTAACATCTAACAGCAGGCCGTATGTTAGGAGCTGACTGACGGAGTGCTCAAACCAGACATAGTATTAGCCAAATGTGGAAGAAGCCGATTTAAACAAAAGATAGCTGAAGCCTTATATGGACCTTTCAATCTGGAGAGATCAAAACTGACATGTTAATGCGTTTAGAAAGATTCACTGTTTGGCGCATTGACCCCGGCAGTGACACGTGCAGAGGGGAGATCATCCCAGATCCCCCGGAGTCGACCCTTTTGATGAAGAATGCTGTAAATCCACTTGGGTAGACTCTGGTCTGTGAAAGGCGGTATATAAATAAAGATTACTTACTTACTAGATGGCTGTCCTAGAATGCTACGTGATGCGGCTGTCAAAGAATGCCACAGGAATTATTGTGTAAACCATGCTGCCGACTAATTGGACAACATTACGCCAGAGTTATTGATGATAATTAAGTGGCATTTGCATACATTGTGTAATAGCTTCAAATGAGCCAAGTGCTGTTTTTGTTATTAAGCATAATGTCAATAAAACTAGGGCTGGGACTCAATAAAAAACAAAAAATCTAATTGATTAATCACATTTTAATCGCATATAAATATTTGACCTGAGAACAGTGAAGGAACAAGGATTTTTAGTTTACCATTGAATAATGACTGAATACAGAAGCTAAAGCAACACTTGTTCATTGTGGAGGATCAGACGAACTTCTTTCCCATTAAATAACGATTTCTGTCATCGCCTCCACACTCTGACCACAACACACACTCTGACCACAACACACACTCTGACCACAACACACACTCTGACCACAACACACACTTTTTATGCCCAAAATCCACTGCACTCTCAGTGAGCACTGAAGCAGGACACGCACTGTTTGCTAAAGCTTTTATAATAAGTTTTTGATGTGTACATTTGGACTAAACATCAGCAATAGCAGCTCACACCTGTGTCTCGCTCCTCCTCCTCTTCCTCCTCCTCTTCCTCCTCCTCCTCCGCCTCTGCTCACAAGAGTCGCTGCTCCTCCTCCTCGTCCTCCTCCACCTCCTCCACCTCCTCCACCTCCTCCTCCTCCGCTCACAGGGGTCGCTCGCTCTCCTCCTCCACCTCCTCCTCCTCGTCCTCCTCCGCTCACAGGGGTCGCTCGCTCTCCTCCTCCTCCTCCTCCTCCTCCTCCTCCTCCACCTCCTCCTCCACCTCTTCCTCCGCTCACAGGGGTCGCTCGCTCTCCTCCTCCTCCTCCTCCTCCTCCACCTCCTCCTCCGCTCACAGGGGTCGCTCGCTCTCCTCCTCCTCACACACAGAGTCCATAGCTCCACACACAGCGCTCTTTCCCGTCTCTAACTCTCTCGGATTTAGACACAGCTAAAGTTGGTCTATAATTGTTATAATGTACTTTTGAACAAAAAAGTTGCGGAGCTCAAGTTGGTGCTCCAGTACAATGGGTCCGTCTGAAACTCATCCAGTGAGGAAAGTTCCGCGGTGCAACGTCCCATACAAATAAAATGCGTAAAAAAATGTAACGCGCTATTTTTGTGCCTTCAATTAATCTTAATTAACGACGTTAAAGTCCCGGCCATAAATAAAACATATCATTTGATGTCAATACCCACACTAAAGATGAGGTGCCTGACGTTCACACCACTAAGGCCACAGTTTGGTTCTAGCTACATACTTTTCACATGCATGTAGGTTTGGCCCCAACATTAGAGTGAAAGGTGAAAGAGAAGACCAACATAACTCAACCAATCAGCTCTCGGCAGTAAAGGCACCATGGTGACAGACACTTCTGAAGTTGCATACAAAGTTGCAATCTGACTTGATTTTTCAATTTTACTTTTACAAGAGTTCTGAGATTTTTTAATTATATTTTTGTGTTTTTGTCATATATTAATGCCTACCAAGTTTTTAATCAGAATCAGAATAATTTTTATTGCCACGTAAGTAACAGCAAGTCACAGACTTGGAAATTGCTTTGGCTCAGTGCAACAGTCAGAAAGAGATAATACAAATAAAGAATAAAAAACACTTCTAAGGAATAAATTTAAATTTAAAATAGAGTTACAGTTACTATTTACAATATACAAGTGCACATGGTGCACACAATGTAAGGTGACAGCAGTACAGTGAAGTAAAGTGACGTATGATGGGCAGTAAAGTGACTTTATAAAGGGCGGGGGGACAGGTTAAGAAGTGTTCAAGAGTCCAACAGCAGAGGGGAAGAAACTGTTCTTGTGGCGGGAGGTTCTGGTCCTGATGGACCGCAGCCTCCTGCCTGAGGGGAGTGGTTGGAATAGTCCATGTGCAGGTGAGAGGGGAGGGTTGGAATAGTCCATGTGCAGGTGAGAGGGGAGTGGTTGGAATAGTCCATGTGCAGGTGAGAGGGGAGTGGTTGGAATAGTCCATGTGCAGGTGAGAGGGGAGTGGTTGGAATAGTCCATGTGCAGGTGAGAGGGAGTGGTTGGAATAGTCCATGTGCAGGTGAGAGGGGAGTGGTTGGAATAGTCCATGTGCAGGTGAGAGGGGAGTGGTTGGAATAGTCCATGTGCAGGTGAGAGGGGGGGTTGGAATAGTCCATGTGCAGGGTGAGAGGGGAGGGGTTGGAATAGTCCATGTGCAGGTGAGAGGGAGTGGTTGGAATAGTCCATGTGCAGGTGAGAGGGAGTGTTGGATAGTCCATGTGCGAGGGAGTGTTGGAATAGTCCATGTGCGGGCGAGGGTCGGCTACGATCCCGTCCTGCAGCGATGGAAGGCTGCGGCCGATCACTTCCTCTGCAGAGCGCACAATGCACTGTAGTCTCTGTTTGTCCCTGACTGTGGCTCCAGCGAACCACACGGTGATGGAGGAGGTGATGGAGGAGGTGATGGAGGAGGTGATGGAGGAGGTGAAGGAGGAGGTGGTGGAGGAGGTGATGGAGGAGGTGCTGGAGGAGGTGATGGAGGTGATGGAGGAGGTGATGGAGGAGGCGATGAGGAGGTGATGGAGGAGGTGATGGAGGAGGTGATGGAGGTGATGGAGGTGATGGAGGAGGTGATGGAGGAGGTGATGGAGGAGGTGATGGAGGAGGTGATGGAGGTGATGGAGGAGGTGATGGAGGTGATGGAGGAGGTGATGGAGGAGGTGATGGAGGAGGTGATGGAGGAGGTGATGGAGGAGGTGATGGAGGTGATGGAGGAGGTGATGGAGGAGGTGATGGAGGTGATGGAGGAGGTGATGGAGGAGGTGATGGAGGAGGTGATGGAGGAGGTGATGGAGGAGGTGATGGAGGTGATGGAGGAGGTGATGGAGGAGGTGATGGAGGAGGTGATGGAGGAGGTGCAGGCAGCTTTTAACCATGTTCCAACAGTGTTCCAAGTTGTAATTGAGGTTTTAAAAAAATCATTGTATTCTATTTTACTCCATGTGCTTTCACTGTCATAAACATATTCAACCAATTTTACATCATTATTGTCTGTAATATATAGATATATATATAATATATTAATGCTCTTAGTCCTGACTCAAACGCTAGTGTCAACAATTAACAGCATCATATCAGGAAATCCTCTCAGAGCTCCGCTGCTGTCACGGATTAGCAGACCTAATCCCCACACCAGTCCACAGAGTTCAGGAGCATCTATTTGTCGCGGACGTTAGCTCCTGTTCAACATGAATATTCATTTATTTGCATTTCCCCTTGTGCACATATTGTGATATGCAATAACAGACTCAATAAAGAAATAACTCTTGGAATTGTCAGGATTCATTTAGAACAGACCATATCAGGGCTGAGGAAGGATGAAAGTCGTACTTGGACCTGGAAACTTTCAGAGCCAGGTGGAAAATAAGTATTTGCTCACTTCAAACACCCTCCACTGTTTCGACCTATAATAAAACAGCCAATGGCCCATATGAATATATGTGATTATATTGTTTATCCCAATTGTACATTAACTTTTTGACACTTTGATATATTTTAAGTTTTCACCTTTTTTTAAACCATACTGTTGTAAGCTAGCCTGTCTATGTAATCTTACAGAAATATGTTTTTGCCAGTAGTTTCTCTTTAATTGACTCGACACAAGAGCTGGCATTTACTTTATATATGTTGTGTGGGAGCTTTCAATTTGATATAATGCTTCATTCAGATTAGCCCCTTAATGTATTCAACCCGTTTTCTTTGCTAATTGCAGCCACCCGTTCAATTAGCTAATTACCTTCCAATGTAATTAATCTTTCGGCGCAAGCTACCGCCATCCTCAGCGTAGCAGCCCCGCAGCTTGAAAACCATGGTGTTCAAACCCATCAATGCTACTACACCGACTCAAACACTGTATTCTGAACACTTTCTTTGTGCCAGGATCGTTCCGTCACGGCTTCAAACACAGCGCATGTCAGGTTATAATATTGCGTTTGTCACTTGCATAACGTTCGGAACAAAAAAACATGGAGTCATCGCTCAAACCACAATAGCCCGAGACAAAGACGGCGATCTGCTGGTATGGAAATCGCCTGCGGGGTCTCAATGGAGGCCAATTCTCCAACGCCAACATGACAGATCACGTCTTGCATTTCGGCTACGGCTCAATCCCACCTTACATTGTGTTTTGCCGTTCGTTCCAAACTGCCGTGATTACAGACCCTCAGCTTTTGTTTATTTGCTCGAAAGCCCGAATGATATGCATTGATTCCGCTTTCGTTCATTGTCAAACCCGGCCATTGTGCACCACGGATGGCCCCCAATTACAGCCCCGCTGCGGAAGCTCAGAAGATGATTAAGGCGTCAAACTGCGAAGGAAGCGAGCAATCAAAAAAAATCCACTTGTTGTCTTTGCTAAATTGTAAAACTGGGGGAATTGATGGAGCTTCCTGCAGAGAATTTCTAAGACACACGCGGGAATTGGTGTTAGATTAGTCGGACGACGCACACATAATGATTCCAACGGCAATTTGGAGATGTCTGGGCTACTTAGTGCCAACAAGGCTGTCCACTATTGCCCTAGAATGTCGGCAGAAGCACACAGGCCTTTGACGGACCTGTCGCAAATGTTTACGGTGTGAATATGTGCGGCATTGATCAATCAAAATAATAATTGAAAGACAAAGCTACATAATTATAGATAGAAATGATCAGTCGTTTGTGGATATCGACCATTGTGACGGCTGTTTTTTTTTTTCAAAGAATGACTTGCTGATCTATGTTTTTTTTTTAAGGAGGTTGGAAATAATACTAATGTGCGAGTTAGCCATTAGGACATTTTTTAGAGGTTATTAGATAATGCCTTTGTGGATATTGATCAACTAGATTCATTTTGAAGAGGAAAACATGCATGATCACCAAGATATCCAGTGTCTTATTTCTGGAAGGTTTGATCATGGCTTTTCTGCAGTTGTAGGTATTTTTCATGAATTTACTTTTGAACAGAAGTATCTATCAAAGGATTACTTTTACTGAATAAATGTTTGGTTATGCCTTCATAGCATATCAGCCAGAAGTAAAGATAAACTCCCAACCAATGCATTGAACAAGCTCTTACTGATACCCAATAAGTCACTATAGTCTGTCAGAGGAAGGAGGCTCTCAGTTCTGCCCTGTCATGACAAAGCCTTAAAGGGACAAACTCAGTAAGTTTAATTCTAAATTATGGTGGAGGTGAATATTATTAAAAAGGTCACATTTGTGATTGGTAAACTTGTTTTTCCATTTGGAGCAACTGTAAATCTGAATGAGTGTACCTTTAAGTCCATCCATCTTCTTCCCCTTAATCCATTTCTGGGTCGGGGGTGTCAGTCAGAGCTGCCCCCAGTCCACAGAGCACCAGCCCCTCACTGATCCTCCTGCAGGTGCTGAGTCCACAGGCTGCTCTAGTGTGAGCTGCCTTGATCTTTCAGTGGGGGCTTCAGGCAAAGTGTAAGTGTACCCTTAAGTCACATGTGTCAAAGTCAAGGCTCGCGGGCCAAATCCGGCCCGCGAATTAATTATCTATGGCCCCCGGGACATTGCCTGCCATTGAGGCAATGTATTGACCCCTTAAGCTCGCTAGCCCCCGCCGGCGGGAGCAAACGAGGAAAAAAATACATCTGCTGGCAATAGCAGATGTATTTTGAACTTCATAAGCCACACACTATATATCATTTTAAAGCTTATTTTCTCAGCTATATTCATATGTAAGTGTAAACGATATCTGACTTTGCATTAAAAAGATATAACGCATAATATGGGCACAAAATAAATCAGTCTGTATTTCGTCTTCTGCTGCTCCAACAAATTAGACTTTCCCCATCCTTGCTTAGTCTCTTTCTCTCCGTAACTGTTCATTGAAGAAGAATATCCACTTGTATTTCCCAAAGTATAATCCATTCTTCAGATTTAATCAAAAAACGCCCCGAAAAGAGGTCCAGACTGCTCTTTTACATTTCACCAAGTTTGAGGTTTTTTTTGTTTTTACTATTTTCATGTTCTCAGATGTCTATTACATCTAATATGTACAGTATGAGGATTGGCTTTGGAGCATATTTTATCGTGCCAACAGGTGTCACCGGCACTGCCTCTGGATGTTGAGAAACATTGAACCAGTCCGGCCCTCGGCGCGTAGCAAACATTTTTTTTTGGCCCTCTGATGTATTTGACTTTGACATGCCTGCCTTAAGTGTACCTTTGAAAAAAAAAAGACAATTTCAATCAGTTTTTTTATTTGTATTGGTGCTAATAGATACTCTCTTGGAATAAAAGAAGAATACTGAGATGACAGTTTCCATATTGACCAAGACAGAAGCACCTTTTTAAGCACACACTAGTAAAGCGACTAAGACCATTGTGATTCTGATGAGGAAATTCCAATCAAACTTGGTTGAAAAAATAAACCTTTTAAACCACCCACAGCCTTCTGAAAAATACTCCAAAGACATTCCAAGTGTAATCAGAAGGAGTTAGCGCATCATGTAATGTTTCCCATGGCAGAACAAAAAGGGAACTGCGTTGCCGTGGTGACCTCCCACACACTCTATGCTGGCTGTTGTTACAAGTCATTAGTCTAACATGCAAAATCTATAGGAGCTCAAATGCCACCCACATGTATATTGACCACATTTATATTTTGTTTTACTGCTATAGTTTTGACAGTAAAAGTAATGTTATGATTTAAAGAGTCATTTTGTGGATTGTAATTGGTTTGTGTTGACTAATGAACAAAGAAATAACACAGAAATGTGGAGGGGCTGAAAGGAGGAACAGTTTTGCTGCTGTGGACTGGTAGTGAAGTTACTATTACTGAATTTAGTCAATTCAATCAAAAGACATGATATGAAAATAATGTTAGTGCGATAACTCTTACTTAGATAACGTAAGCGACCTGGAAGGGGGTGGGGCAAGTCACTGACAGCGTCCGAGCTCCAGGTACGAGACTTCTGTCATAGACTTTCACTCACACTCAATGTTCTGCAGTTACTTGCATGGTTAAACACAATTTTCGACTCATTTTGTAGCAATTTAAGTAAGTAAGTAGTGAGTAATCTTTATTTTATAGCACACTTTTACAGATCAAGGTAAATCAAAGCGCTTCACGGTGTTCAGATGCTGTTTACTCCGCTCACTGTGATGACAGGAGAGAGACGCCCAATACACTCGTAACAGTCATACCTATTGTGCATGTTTTCAGTGGTAGGGAAACCAATGCACACAGGGATAACATGCAAACTCCACTCAGAAAGGCCCTGTATCCCTGACCAGGATTCAAACCCAGGACCTTCTTGCTGAGAAGCGCGAGTGTCATTTGAGTGTAGTTTTAGTTTTTCCGCCAGGCCTTCCTCTGGTAGTGCTTATTGAAAGCCACAGTATCAAAATCAGTATTGGACAAAACAATAACTGTGGCCTTATGTCTTTGATGCCGTTGATTATTCTGATTATTTGGTATTGCCCTGTCGTTATAATCAGCTACATCTGTGCCCTAAACAAGAGAGTGATAGAGTAAAGGACATAGTCAAAGACCAGGAGCAGATGCACAGAACCAGGTCAAGCCGTATTGACAGTAAAATCAAAGTGTCACACGGTAAAATATAACTCCCCAGTTCATTTTTGTTCCTCGTTTATGGCCCCCAGCCTCTCACCAAATGACATTATTGATCACAGGAGCTTCCCGGAGCTTTTCTGCATGTTCGCGATGTTAAGTCAGATTTATGGATGGCGCAGGGTCATTTATACCCCTTTGGCATGGCAGATGTTGCTGTTACCTAGCAACTCAAACGTTGTGGTTTTGCCACTGAAGTAACATGCAGCGTTTTGCTAGACGGTGTCAGACCAAGGTGTTCTCACAATTTTGTTTAAAACATGTGTTTTGATCAACTAGTTGATTCAAAACAAAATTACAAAATTAAATACTGTATCTGGGGAAAAAAAAAACAAAAAAAAATGTAAAACTTAACAATTTAAAAAGGTATATTTAATTTTAATGAAACAAATCACAGTGGGAGGGGTGGACAAGAGTTAAAATATTGTTTTTCTAAGCTTCATGAAAAATGTGTCTGCTGCTATAGCATTCTTACAGGTGAAACTCAGAAGATAAGCATTAAAAAAATCATTGATATCTGTTGTTACTAATGTGAAACAATATATAAGTAGGGCTGGGCAATATGGAGAAAGAAAATATCTCTTAAAACAATACTTTTACAGGATAACCACCCTCCCCCCAAAACTACTGCAAATATACAAACATGCCAATTCCCAACGTTTTAGTTTTTATTTGACCTCAAAGCGAGAGTCAGTTCAAGTAGGAACAAAGTGCAAATATTATTACCTATAGTTATCGCCAACCCCTATAAATATAATATATATACTGTATATGACATAGACTCTTTACAAATATGTCAAGCCTTTGTTTATCTGAAATATTTATACTGCCCAAATATTCTAAATTCATGACATGTTTTATGTGGGGTTTTTACAAACCCAGAAATGGATTAGGGGGAAGAAGATGGATGGACAAGCTATGATCCAGTTATGAACACTTTATCAACACTTTATCAACACGTTATCAACACTTTATCAACACTTTATCAACACTTTATCAACACTTTATCAACACGTTATCAACACTTTATCAACACTTATCACAATCACTTTATCAACACTTTATCAACACTTTATCAACCTTTACAACACTTTATCAACACTTATCAACACTTTATCAACACTTTATCAACACTTTATCAACACTTTAACACTTTATCAACACTTTTCAACACGTTATCAACACTTTATATCAACACTTTATCAACACTTTATCAACACTTTATCAACACGTTATCAACACTTTATCAACACTTTATCAACACTTTATCAACACTTTATCAACACTTTATCAACACTTTATCAACACTTTATCAACACTTTATCAACACGTTATCAAC